ACCTCTGTCCCCGTTCCCTCCCGGCATCCGTGGGCCACCGAGTTCGCAGGGCAAACAAAAGGCGCGTTTCAAGCAAGCAGAGAGCAAAACCTTCCACCCCTCCATTCACCCGTATATTTTCCCCCCTTTTTCTTTCAGTTGTTGTTTCTCTTTTTTTTTTTTTTTTTTAGGGAAGGGTCGCGGGGGGGGTGTGTGGTGGGGGAAACGTTGCTATTTTTTTTTTTTCTTTTTCCCCGATGGTAATGAAGAGCGCTAACACCGGCTAGGCTAGAGCGAACGCCAACAAGACCCCTATAGGCAGCGCGGTGCATTAATGTAAAATATGCCCAGACAACATAACTTGTCAGAGAGGATTATTTCTGCTTAGTGAATCTGCAGGGGCCCCTTTGCTCCGCCACTCAGCGGCTGCCGAGCGAGAGAAAGCGAGAAAGAGTAGCCATTAGTGAGTAGCTACTGTGGCATTGATGTTTGAGCGCACTTCTGAACCGGCTTTTGTTGCAAATATCGGTGCAGAAAGCATGCGCTGTCCCAAATCCGCTGTTACTATGAGAAATGAGGAGCTGCTTTTAAGGTATGTTGTCTCCCTTTGTTTGAACGCGTGCTTTCGAGTTGCCTGGGCCCGCCGCAACTATAACCGCGCCGCGTATTAAGTAGTTTCGCCGTTTAAAGGAAAAGGCAGGCGTTGCTGCGTCCAAGGAGCGTTTCCACTAGTTAGGGTCGCGCATCGCGTGGATGACGACGAGTGTAGCGAGAGGGCGAGGAGAAAAAATATATATATATATATTTTTTTTAATCCTGAATGAGAGCTGATATTTCTTCTGCCACCTCTTTTGCAATATTTCTGCCTGCTTCGTTATTATGCACTGGGCATGGAATAAGCATGGGAAAAGCGAAGGGAGACTCCATATTAGAGCGAGTGCCCTAAATACCACTTTAATTTTCGCGTAGCCTATGCAAATAGTTATTAATGCGCTGCCTAGTCCTCACCCCTCGCAGATGCTTGCAAAACACGTAAATATCCGGGACGTGGGATTACACGTATATTCTTACCGTTGCAACGTTTCGGGGGGGGTGGGGGGGGGGGTGAGCATCGACTGCTGTTTTCAAAGCCACGCATACACAGGCATGCACGCACACACCCCGGGTTTACGCTGGAACTGGCCCCCCGCTTTGGAAAATGTAGTCTTTTGTTTATTTGCTAGCAGACATCGTAGCCCTGAATGCGTCTCTTGGTCTGACAATGGGACAGCGGAACAATGGTGCTGTCAAACTAGCTTAACGTATGTCTGGGGCTGGCTTCTTGTTGTTGTTTTGGGGCTGTTGGGTGGGTTTTCTTCTTCTTCTTTTTTTTTTTTTTTGGCCCTTTCTCAGCCCCTTTCTCCGTTTCCCTTAATCTTTTCTGTATACACAGCAGAATATGAAGTGCATCGGCTCTTTTGTGGAGGTTGTTGCATTCGGTAGCCAGTGCTAACAGCGCCGGGAGGGGGAGGTTGGCATCTTGCAGTTATGTCCGTTGCATTAAGTTGGAGATTTATGACTAACCTCTCCTCTAACTGTGGCGAGAAAACTTATCCATTCGGCAAGCTCACAATACCGCCGTCAGTCTGGCAAATACCTAGCTGCCAAAGGTGCTCCTGCATTATTTTATGCCCGATCGTATCAACTGGAACTGCTGTCTTGAAGATGCACTTTCTTGTTTTGTTTAGGTAATGAAAATGCAGCAAAAATGATAAAGCAGAGCACAGAGCGGGAGCCCGTGCCACTTTCCATTTTTATAATCCAGCTATTAGCATATGTGAGAATTTTTAAGGTCAAGCAGAATAATTTAGCTGGATGATTCCTATCCCCAAATCGAACAAATTATTTATATGACATTTCTTGAATTACCTATCTGTTTAGGATAGCCATAGTTTAGGATTAGAGCAGTTAACACTTTATTTTTTTGTTATGGGTTTGGAAGACGTTTATGTACAGCATGCATTATGAAAAGAAACTCTTACAGAGCTTTTTTTAGAATATGTGAATTGTTTCTCGGACAGTAGGTTATATCTTAAATAAAAGGAATCGTCACCAGTCTTCTGGAGTTTCTGTAACTGCTAAAAGTCTTTAGATACTTTGTATGTTAAGAAAATATATCACTTCTTTTATTAATAATTGTAATCATTTCTGAGAGAAAAGACAGATACTTATCCTTTTTTTTTTGCTGAAGGCAATTAATTTTAAGGCTTTCATCCTTTTTTTTAAACTGGATTGCACTGCATGATTTCTAATGTGACAACAAATAACAAAAAAGGCATTAAAGATAAATTGGTGAAGGTCAGAGCTTTCTACAGCATGCTTTTTCAACAACAAATGCTCTAAGAGGAGACTCTGAGAACTTTCTCTTTTTTTTGTTTTTTTTGCATTTTTTTTTTTTAACTGTTGTCTCCTCCCCTTCCCTTGTGTGTTGGGAGGGTGTAAATGAACAGCACAGGGCTCCCGTGAACAGAAAGCTAACATGGCATAAAACATGCCCAAAGCCTAGAGGTTATGGATTATCAGGTCGTGCCCGCGTGCCGTGCACGAGCGTAGAGAAAGGGCGGCTGGGGTTGCAACCACAGCGTCGTCCCGTGGTACGAGCTTCTTGGGAGGACTTCTCCGAGACAAGGGCTGAGCAGTCCCCAGGGGCCCTGTGGGGCCACAGCTGGGGTGAGTTCGCTTCTGCCACGTTCTCCATCCTCATCCTGTGAGTTTGGGCAGCCGCTGGCCTTTCGCTATGGCCTGGCAATAAAGTGACTATATCTTGCTCCCAAGTAGGTGAAAAAGCCCTTCTAGCGATGGCCTGGAGTAGGGCGAACGCCGCTTCAGCAGCAGACCCCAGCAGGCCACCTGTACAGCGTGCCCGGCTCCCCCTTTTCCAGGGACAGGCAACGCTGTAGCTCTTTGCTAAGCTCCCTTCTCACGGGTGAGTTCACGCTAAACTTTACTGTAGTCCCTACGCTTTCAGATAAACTACACGTAATAAGGACTTCTGTCTTGGATTGCCTGTGATTTCGTTCGTTCCCAAGGGCATTTGCAGACGTCGCATTCACATCAAAGACTAATTTCTGAATTATTCAGTGTGAACCCCATTCCTTAAAAAAAAAAAGAATCCTTCTATGCAGATTTACTGAAATACTGCTTTTTGAACCAAAACAGTTATTATTAACATCCAAGACAGTGGAGCAAATCTCTAACATAAGCCATTTCCTAGCAGCCAGGCTTTAATAAGGAAGGGTCTAGAGGGTTAGTGACCTAGCGCGAGACCATCGCAGGGGTCCGTAGCGTTACCTGGTTTGGGTCTCACCTCTTGGCGAAGCGACGTGGTGCCCCGCGGCCGTCAAACTTGGCGATGTCTGTTCCCACTACGGTCATAAGAGGGCTTATTCAGACTGTGTAGTTATTTCTTCTGGCAATGACCAGGTGTAACACTAAAAAAATGCAGAATGCGAAGACTTCTCCGTCCTGCCTGGGAGATCAGAAGAGGTGGTGACTTGGGAGCCGGCTTTCCGCGTTGCCATAGGAAATGGAAGTGAAACGTATTTACTTATTAGCCTGGCATCCTTTTCTACGTTTTCCTGGGATTCACGAAGCACAATCTCTAGCATCAACATGTTAATATTCTCTTTGTTAAGTGAGAATAAAGCTGAAGTGTTTCTGTTATCAAATTTAAGTATATAAGATTGCAAACTATACCTTTGGGGCTGAAAAACAAAGGCGAGCATTCAATTAATATTCATATCTAGAAGTTTTCCTGCAAGTGTAGATTGTGCTTGAATACTTAAGAAGTCATTCAGGAGTGAATCAATACTAATTATTGTAATCAGGAGGGTTAATTAGCTGAAGATGCTGCTGATGGAAAGTTCACTGCTTACAGCCCTGAAAACACCTAAGTTGATGAAATCTGAAAGCAAGATGTCTAAGAGGACTTTATAGAGAGAGAAAGGCTTGGCTTGCCTTTGGCATTTGAAGAGCCAGTTGTTCCAAAGGGGAAACATGGCTCTTACTTTGTGTAAGGCTTTATTATCATTATTATTATTATTATCATCATTATTTTATTATTATTATTATTATTATTATTATTATTATTATTATTATATTAATTCAGTGAATGTTAGAAGATGCAGACTAAATCTGTCTAGAAGATATTGTGTGGTAGTTTCTCATTAAATGCAAGTAGTATTTTGGATAACCTGTAATGTCTCCGTAGCATTAATTTGGCGATTACCATAAATTAACATGGATAATCTCGTGCATGTGGCATCTGCTTCCAGCTCTGTTATTGGGAACAGTTATTTTTTGCCACTGAGGTGCAGGCATGGGGTCTGTATCTGCTTAAATTACACTTGCTCTGTATCTGATAGGCGTGTGTACGTCTGCGTGTGTATATGCACACGTATACACGCGCACATAGCTTAAAATATTTTTCATTGTGGGTTTTTATTTCTCAGATCCTCAAAACTCCCACTCACTTCAACTGCATATAAATCAGAGAGCAGTTCTTGAACAAGTAGTTTGTGAAATTTAAGTCAGATGAGAACAAGAAAGACTAAAAAATAAAAAAGACCAAAGAAAATTCTTTTCTTTTCCTCTATTTGGAGGAGTTCTGTTTCTTGAAGTGAGCATTAGTGAATTCAAGCAAAATCTAGCTCCACAAAATCTTTTCTCACCAGTGAATCGTGACAGGCTTTTCTCTCCAATGCAGGCTTTTCCCTCCTCCCTTCCTCCCTGGTTATATCTGCTAAGGTTATAACCCAGATGAAAGCCTGGATGTTTATTCAAGCTTGTCAAAAAACAAGGGGAAAAAAAAAAAACTTCCCTGCCACATGCACGCAGGTCCACATAAGTAAAGCGATGGTTTAAGCAGAAGGAAATTCTGTTCCAAAACGTGTCATTCTTCACCCTCTGATGACATTAGCGCTTATCACGTGCCGGCGCTATTTATCTTCGCAACAGCTTCCCTATGAGTGTTTTACTGCTGCCGGCACGTTTCCTTGCGTGTCCGCCATGGAAAAGGTAACCGAAAACGGCAGCGGTTGGGAAGGCAGGGCGCCGCACCCGGGCTGACGGGCATCATCGGGGCAGCGGGAGCTGCCGTCTCTCCCACCTGGTCCCACTTGACCCGCCGAACCCTTGGCTGCCTGCGATGGTGATAGATCACCGCAGTTTACCAAACAGGACTGCCGGCATCCTCGCGGAGGACAGACAAACCCGGCTTTTCTTCTTGGTGCGCACGCACCAGAGCAAAAATACCACTTTTTGTTTATTTCTGCGTAATTTTGCCCTGCGGCGGAAGCGAACGTGTCAGTTAAACCTGCTTTAAGGCAGTGCTTGGCGAGTTAACGCTGCGCCGAGGGTTGACTGTCTTTATTGGGTGGAAGGGGGCAGGAAGGAATTTCTAGGTGTGGATTTTCCTAAATCTGGGGTAAATCTTGAGCTGGACCTGAATGTTTGGATCTTTTACTCGGGGAGACTTGCATAGCATAACTATTACCAAACTAGACCAGGATGTAAAAAGGACTTTGGTTTTTCTCGCAAGCAACTTTATTCTCT